AATCGCCTAACCACAATTGCATGTGCAGAGATAGATGTTATTTTGCCCTTGTTGTGGGATTTTGTCCACAATGACGCTTCAGATCCGCGCTCCCTCACCTCAACATGGCACCCGCAAGGTTCGGGTGCGGGTAGTGGTCGCCAAAACACATACCGGTCTCAATAGTTTTTGCCTAAAACCTGTACCCGTAACTGCATGTCGGGTTTTGAATTGTTCCCATCCCGTACCTGGTCGGGTGCAGGTAATACCCACGAGTAAAAATACCCATCTCGGTCACCTTATCCAATCCACACTTGACCATTTTTTTTCTCAACATTTCCGCGTATATACACAATATTTCGGCATGTATACTTCAATATTTCAGCACATATATAACATATTTTAGCATTCCAGCACATATATACCACATTTTTAGCATTTCAGCACATATATATCATGATTTTATGTGTGATGGAATAAAAACAATGTTATTAATTTTCAGAAGTGGATAGCAATAAGCATGAACTAGATGGCACTAAACAATGTCCACTTACATTCATGGATGAGTAGCCTGTAAGTGAACTTTTAGACAAACATTCATATATGTTCTTTCTTCTTTTCCCCAATTACAAGACATGTGTGAATGTAAGTGGACATATGTCTTGTAATCATTTCGTGGTATCAAAACTTTTTAGACAAACATTCACATATGTTCTTTCTTCTTTTTCCCAATTACAAGACATATGTGAATGTAAGTGGACATATGTCTTGTAATCATTTCGTGGTATTAAAGAAGCATGGACGTGTGATCATTTCAAAGTAGGGGATGCAGAAGTATCTTCAATAGAATAAAAAATAAAAATGAAGAAATCATTTCAAAGTAGGGGATGCAGAAGTACCTTCAGTACTTCACTCTATGACCCGAGGCACTACTGGTTTGGTTTCCGCTTGGGTTGCAACCACCTACCTCCATCGATCTCATTTGGGATGTCCCACTACCAGCCGGCCTCGACGAAGACCACACCAAAAAAAAATATCATTAAGTTTATAAGAGAGAAGTTGCAAGATCTTCTATCATGTTTCATGGCTCAATCTGCGTGCTTCTAGCACTATCTCCAGTTTTCGCATCACCAGATTACTCGTTCAATTTTATTTTATTTGAACACACTATGACCTTCTGTGTCTATGTTGTGTTAAAAAAACAGTTTTGCTAAAGCACATTTAAATGTGTCATAAGTATTACACATCTAAGTCATATGTCATTGATGTTACATTGAGATTCGTGTGAATATTTTCTTTTTCTTTTTTTTTCTCTTTATACTTGATTCACTTACTTAGATGTGCAATAACTGCACATCTAGATATGCCCTAGACACACACAAAAAATCAAACAACATCTTCCCTCAGGCAGGCCCAAGAGCCACAGGAAACCGGCGCGGGCCAAACTGACCCAACGACGGTTAACCTGGAAGGGGAAAATGGTTCAGACTACACTACACCTCGATGCACCCTCGCCCTGAAAAAGACCACGTCAGGTCACTCGTCCATCAGAGTGTTCCGCAGTCGTAGTCGGCCATTTTCACCAGGCTTCTCGCGAGCGCTCCGGCCAGCACCTTCTCCCGGAGAAAGCTCACGATCGCATTGTCACTCTGCTGCACGAAGCCGACCATGTAGGCGGCTCCGACGAGCTGGACGCTCCGCCACCGCCGCATCCCGGCGTACTCGCGCAGGCCCGACTCGATCCTCTCCTCCTCCGTGCCAGCCTCCCCGCCAAGGACGGCGTCGCCGAGGCATCTCGCCAGGATGACGCCGTCCTCCAGCGCCGAGCAGCCGCCCTGGCCCAGGTCCGGCGTCATCGGGTGCAGCGCGTCGCCGGCCACGCACACGTTGCCCTTGCTGATGCTCGCGAACAGGAGCGACAGCGGCGAACGGAACCGCAGCGGCGCGGCGGACGCGTCGCTCATGTCGCTCCGTTCCACCACCTCCAGCGCCCCCGCGGGCACCTTGGAGCTCCTCAGCCTGGCCAGCACGTGCTGCTTCATCTTGGCGGCGCCCTCGACGTCGACGCCCTTGTCCGCACTCGCGTTCTGGGAGGGAGACCAGGTGTAGAACCAGTAGATGCGGGTGTCGTCGCAGGGCACGAAGCCGAAGCGGAAGCCATGGCCGATGTACTGCAGGAACTCGGGCTCGAAACCATGGCCGTCGGGGTAATGTGCGAGGCCTCTCGTGGCCAAGCGCCCCGAGTAGGACGGCTTGGGGAGCCCCAGCCATTTCGCCACCACCGAGTTGACCCCGTCGCAGCCGATCAGCACCTTTGCCCTGAGAGTCGAGCCGTCGGCGAGGTGGAGGATCTTGGCGGCGCCGTCTTGGTCGTCGATGGAGACGATCTTGGACGAGTAGCGAATGGTGCCCGTCGGCAGCTCCTCCTCGAGCGTCCGGAGCAGCAGGTCACGCCTGACACGGCAGGTCTCATGAGGTCCTCTGCATCCAAAATTATCCATGTAATTGTGTTACTCATCACGTCCTGATAGATGAGAACTTGCTGCCAACTCGGTGCTCACCCATTCTCCTGCAGCGTGAAATCCAGCTCGTGTGCGATCTCTCCGGTGGACGCAGAGAAGACACGCAGCCTACGTACGAACATGGGTCGATCGGATTACACTACAGTTTTAAGCGGAAAACGAGAGCCAACGTGCAAGCCAGGCATTGAAGAAGAAACGGCAGCCAGGCGTTTACCCTTGGATGTGCAGGTGGAGCTTCCTGATCTTGTCGCCGACCCCGAGGGCGTCGAGCGCGCGGAAGGCGTTGGGCCACGTCGTGATGGCGTAGCCGGACGCGCGCAACGCCGGCGACGACTCCAGCACCACGCTCCTCACCCCTTTCCTGTGCAGCCCGAGAGCCACGGCGAGGCCGGCGGGGCCGGCGCCCACGACGACGATGTGCTCGGCATTGATCTCATCTTGTTCTTCCATGCAAGCTGCCGTGTCGTCTTCCCGGATGAGGAACAGCTTCGGCTTGGCAAGTCTATTGTCGCAAGTTATGATGATTTTCCTGGCGTGCATGGCTGGGTGGGCCGGTACGTATGGCGGTCCTGGACCGCAATTCGTTTGGACCAACCAACAAGAGACCGCAATTCGTATGTGGTGGATTGAAGGGAAAACTCCAAAACCATCCACGACATACGCGGTCTAGGAGACATATATTTATTTATTTTAGTTGGAAAATCTGCGAATATCCAATTCCGAGTCCGGGCTCGTTTGCACCCGGTCAAGAAACAATCCATAGAAAATAAAAATAAAAATCTAAATTTTTTATGGAAGGTAGATAATTTGGTGTGTGAGGTTCGCTGCAAATTTCAAAGCATTTGGACAATTGAGTAGCTCTCAGCAAAAAAGACAAATTAGGTCTGAACAGTACACTTTTTAATAGACCTTAAATTTGTCTTTTTTGCCAAGAGATACTCAGACGTCCAAATGATTTAAAATTTGGAGCGGACATCACGCACCAAATTATCTACCATGCCAAAAATTGGAATTTTTTGAATTTTTTTTCTAGTGTTTATTTTAATTTTTTTTATTCAGCGTGGGTACAGATGAGTCTGGGAGCCAAAACGCCTCACTCGAAAATCTGTTGCAACTTTATTAAAATGTCAAGGTATACTCATCTCAAAAAATAATGTCAAGGTACACTCCGAGGCCACCACCAAGCTAACACATGCCGTTGGTACCATTTTGGGGCACGCAAGTGCGGGGACACCAAGTCCCTCGCACGCGTTTTTTTTTGGCTTCTGGTTTTTTTAACTTTCATATCTTTAAAATAAAAAGTTTAGAATAAATTTTGTTTTCATATTCGTGTTTTTTGTGATGAGCGCCTAATTTCAAATAAGACCATTTTAAATATGTTTTCATGAAATTTGAAAATAAATGTTAAGTACAAGCTACTGATAAATCATGAGTTTGTGCTTACGGCCAATTTTTGTGACTACAGCCGACAAAAATAATGTCTCAAAATTTTATCGATGAAACTTGGTAAGAGCGAGCTTGAAAGTCGCAAGTTTTAGATGAAAAATCGTAATTTTCAATGATTGAAACTTAAAACTTATTGCACCCCTACTGCGCTCTCATGCGGTATCCAACTACTTCACGAATCGCGAGGTGATCGAGCTGTCGGGCAGGGCTTGCCAGGTGCGTGCACCTATGAATTTCTGCGGTGGTGCATGTAACCAGGTCTTACAGAGTTTATTATTGCAACCTTCCCTAGCTAGTTCATGTGCGACTTTATTCGCCGAGGGTTGCACCCACAGAACCCCAAAGTCCTTGAAGGACCTAAGAAGTCGCTTCACTTCCTCGACAATTGGCCCATATGATGAAAGATCCGTAGCCTCTTGATTGATCTTACGGACAACAACTTGGGAGTCTCGCTCCGGGATCACTTCGGACACACCAACCTCCCTCGCCAGGTGAAGAGCTCATGGAGACAGAGAGATTGACAGAGTTATCGTGTACATCTCGGACTAGCCACACGCCCACACACAAAGAAGACTTACCACCGGTTACACTATTCACCTATATTAGTTCCTGTTTGCTAAACATCAGGTACGAGCGGAGCCGGCGATCGTCGGCGGGGGCGAGTCAGAAACTTAATGGGCGGGTTAGGGATGGGGATGCGTGGCGGCGTGCGGTAGCGCCCACCGGCCACGGGGCGCTATGTCGGAGGGTGACTGCACGACGAAGAAGATGAATAGGGAAAATAGGGCGCTAGCTATTTTTTAGGCATTTGGATGCAAAAAAATGATCTCCAACAACTGCCCTGTCATATTTTTTTGGCCAAAAAACTTGTGGACCCAAAAAGAGGACTCTAGGTGTTGTAAATAGGGAAACGTTTCCAGCCGGGGCACCGGCCGAACTGTTACGCCGGTCTCACGCAAGCCGCGAGATGGATCGTAATCATGCGGCCAGAAACAGCGCACCCCTTCCCTTATCTGCAGCACATATCCTTCTTCCTTCTCCATCGCTCAGCTCCCCTGCCCCATCCCCACAACTCCGTTCCCTGTCCTGCACCACCAGCGCCGCCGCAACTCCGGTCCCTGTCCCGCACCACTGCCTTCGCTGCTGTGACCCTCCTCCTCCTCCTCCTCCTCCTCCCCCCACCCCCTCGCCCTCAATCTCCCTCCTCCCTTTTCCTTTCTCTGATGGCCCACGGCTCGCCCTGAATCCCGTGATCCCCGACGACCATCTCTCATCGGAGATGGACACGACGACAGGGGGAGCCCTGCGATGCCGGAACCAGCATCTATTTTTGCTGCAACCTGCCGGCCAAAACGCTGGAACCGGGCCAGCTCAGAAGCTAAAAACGGACGAGACTAGATGCTACGAGTGGCGAGGTGGATCTCAGTGACGAGCTTCAAATGAGAGGCGACCGGTGCTGCAACCAGCGTGGATTTGAGCTGGAACCGGCCGAAAAAATAGCTGCATCCAGCGTGGATTTTTGCTACCAAAAACAAGGCGTATTCTGACCGGCAAACAGGCATACTGCTGAAAGCTTCAAGCGGCAAGGAAAAAAGCTTCAACCGACATAAAAAATGCTTCAACCATGAAAAATCATAAACAAAAAAAGCTTCAACCCGTGGAAAAAATTGGACTTGCGCGGCAAAGGCTTCAACCGGTGTGTAAAAAAGCTTCAACGGGCGAAGGAAAAAGCTTCAAACCATGAGAAAAAGCTTCAATGGGGTGGGAGAACAGTTTCAACCATGGAAAATATTCCTACGAGCGATGCTGGAAAAAGCTTCAACCGCTGTGTGAAAAAGCTTCAACCGCTGTGTGAAAAAGCTTCAACCATGGAAAAGCTTCAATGGGCCTGGAAGAAAAGCTTCAAACGTGGAAAATGTTTCAACCGGGAAATAAAAAGCTTCAACCCACAAGGAAAAAAGCTTCCACTAGGCGGCGGCATGATGACGATGTGCGAGCGGGGAGACGCGGCTGGCGGCATGGCAGTGCTACGACGGCGGCGGTTAATTGCAGCAACGACGAAGGGGTCGGCAGTCTTACGACGACGGCGTTTGCTACAGGTGAGGACGGAGTGCTGCGATGAGGTCTCTTCGCTGGAACCATCGAGCACGGGTGTTGCCAGGACGGCGATTGGCGGCGGCGACGGCGACCGGCGGCAAGGATAGCCGGCGACCAGCGGCGAGGACGCCCGACAAGGACGCGGGAGCACGCGTGGTTGGGGTATGGTGGATGGCGAGTAATCAGGGGGAAGCACGTTAACTCAGCTTGAAGACGACGGGAAGAAAGAAGATGGGATCAGATCGGACGGCTCTGCGCGCATGCATCGGGCGGCTGCGGTGCGACCGGCCGAAACATTCGGCCGGCGCACCGGCGCAGATTACTCGCCTTGTAAATATACAGGACATTCGCGGCTGCCGTAAACCAAAATCCCCCTACAGCCCACCCACAACCTCCATAGCACCCCCGCGTGACCCCTCTCCCCTCTGACACCATTGTAGCCTGTAAATCCGGTGAGTATCGCACCCACGCCGCGCCCGCCGCTGCCAGATCTACTAATCCCACCTCGCCAGCGGCCGTTGTACCGCTTATATCGCCGCCACCAACGCATCTCGTCCAGCCACTCCGCCGCGCCTCGTACCTGCCTCACTGTCACCATGCCACCGAAGCCAAAGACCAAAGCCGGTTTCGAGGGCATGTAGCCGCGGCCCTCCACCCAATACGGCGTGGAGTTGAGCACGCGTGGCCATGGGTACTGGGTGGGCACTTTCCGTAGCATGGACCCCACCGCCCGCGCGTATGACATCGCGGCGTGGCGGCTCGGTCTGCAACCTGAAAAGGCTCAACTTCCCGGAGGACTCGTTGGAGGCAGCATAGCTCGTTGGGCAGAAGGTTCGCAAGGGAGCACCCAGAGTATGTTCAATAAGAGCAGGAGTGGTACTGGAAGAGGGACACGGAGAAGAAGAAGGTGAAGGACAACAACGACGCAGGACCTTCCTCTGCGAAGGTGGTGGTCAACGTCGAGTCGTTTGACAACGACATTGATTGGGACGAACTTGAGCGTGAGGAGGACGAGGAAAATTACATTCTGGTGCAAAAAAAATCAAGTTTATTCTAAGAAAGAATCTGAATGTTTTTAACTTTTTTGTAAAAAAATCAATTCTTAGGTTATAAACACCCAGAAACCAATGGGTATTTTCTTAAACTCCGTTCTCGTTCTCGTTAGATTCAACGTCTTGGTTGGGGTTGTGTGGCAGCGGCGATATTCCTTAGTGGGAATAATGTCTCCCACATTCTATCCCCGTCCCGATGGTGCTTCTAGGATCATACGGAGGATGTGTGAAGGTTTGTCTCCGTCGGATCTTGCGGGATTCGGTTGGTGCTGGCTTTCGGTGGATCTGTTTGGATCCGGTCTTCGTTCGTCTTCACTTGGGTGTTTACAAGTTTGACCCTTCTAGTCTATGACTTTCTTCATCGGCGATGATTGCTATTCTATGCGCTGGTCCTATGTGGCCTTAGCACGACGACTTCCCAACTGTTTACTATAACAAGGTTTGTCCGGCTTCGGTGATGAAGATGCGATGATGGGGGCGCGCCTTCGGCTCGCTCCAGCGTTTGTAGTCGTTGCTAGGGGCCCACGGACATGGTTAAAAAAATTCAGAAACACTAACGCCCACACATGTGGGCGTCTGGCAACTCGCCCACACGCATGGATTCTCGTCCAACCAATTCTACACGAATCTTGGCGTGTTCTAGCAGTTTTTGTGTGCCACGTAGGACTAAGATGGTGTGTGTGGGCATTCATCCGGTCGCCCACACGTCCTTTTCACCATACGGGGGGCTGGCGTGTGGGCGTTTATCACTTCGCCCACACCCAAAGTTGGCAGTTGCCATGTGTTTCTGCAGGGTACATGGCAACTGCCCTAGCTTTGCTTGTAAGCAGATAGCAACTCTTTTTTACCCCGAGTTGCCATGTGTTTTTGCATGGTACATGGCAATTGCCCTAACATGCACGTAAGCAGATGGCAACTCTTTCTCTTTACATGACAACTGCCCTAGCATGCTTGTGAGCACACGACAACTCTCTCTTTTACCCGAACATGTTTTTTTACATGCCTTTTTGTAGTGCTACACGACAACTGCCTAGTGGGTGGCAACTCCTAAAATTTTGAAATCATGGCAATTGCAATAGACCAGACCATACATGGCAACTGCAGTTGAGCAACCATGGCAATTGTAGTTGTCCGACATGGCAACCGAAGTTCAGCGACATGACAACTACAATTAAAAGAACATGGACGAGGGTCTGGACCATGGCAACTACGGGACGCGGGTTACTGTCACGCGGGGCATGCGGGACCACGAGGTAGGAGGCCTGACGTACGGGGGTGTGGGCGTTATCTACTTGTGGTCATTACTTGTTTTGCCCACACGTAGGTGTGTGGGTTGTTCCTCTTATATACACCACACAAAATGTGTGGGCAAACCCTCTAACGCCCACACGTGTGGCACTATCGGCGTCCTAATTTTTATTACTTCTTTTGTTCTTTGTACTGTCATAATTAAGGATAAATAGTTTGAAAGTTTCTTGGAAGAAAAAAAAAAGATATGCTCTTGCTATCTTGGTTGCCTCAAATGTACTACTCCCTAGCTCGACAGCGTCCCGCAGTTGTAGTCCGACATCTTAACGAGCCTTCCCGCGAGCACTCCGGCCAGCACCTTCTCCCGCAGAAAGCTGATGATCCTATTACCACTCTGCTGCAAGAAGCCGACAACGTAGGCCGTTCCGATGAGCTCGATGCTCCTCCACCGCCGTATCCCGGCAAACCTGCGCAGGCCCAACTCGATCCTCTCCTTCTCATCAGTCCCGCCTGTCGCTCCGTCGCCATCGCCACCGAGGATGGCCTCGCCGAGGCATCTGGCCAGGACGACGCCGTCCTCCAGCGCCGCGCAGCCGCCCTGGCCAAGGTCCGGCGTCATCGGGTGCAGCGCGTCGCCGGCGACGCACACGTTCCCCTTGCTGATGCCCGCGAACAGGAGCGAGAGCGGCGGCCGGAACCGCAGCGGTGCGGCGGGCGCGTCGTCGCTCAGCTCGCTCCTCTCCACCAATTCCAGCGCCTCCGCGGGCACCTTGGAGCTCCTCAGTTTCGTCAGCACGTACTGCTTCATCTTGGCGCCGCTCTCAGCGACACCATCATCTGCACGTCAGTCAACGCGAGACGGTAAATGGACACTGGACATCAGGGTCAGGGCATCGCCATGGATGCAGAGAGTGGCGAGCTAGACTGACCGTCTTGGGAGGGAGACCATGTGTAGAACCAGTAGACGTCGGTGTCGTTGCAGGGGACGAAGCCGAAGCGGAAGCCGTTGCCAAAGAGCTGCAGGAACTTGGGCGGGAAGCCGTGGCCGTCGGGGTAACGCGCGAGGCCCCGCGTGGCGGAGCGCCCGGAGTGCGACGGCTTGGCGAGCCCCAGCCATCTGGCCACCACGGAGTTGATCCCGTCGCATCCGACCAGCACCCTTGCCCGGAGAGTCGAGCCGTCGGCGAGGTGGAGGATCTTGGCGCCGTCGTCGTCGCCGTCGTCGATGGAGACGATCCTGGAGGAGTAGCGGATGGTGCCCGTCGGCAGCTCCGCCGCCAGGACCTGCAGCAGCACGTCGCGCCTGACGCAGCGGAACTCGTCCCTGAAATCCACCTTCTTTGCTATCTCACCCGTGGACGCCGACATGACGCGCAGCCCCTCGATGTGCAGGTGGAGCTTCCTGATCTCGTCGCCGACGCCAAGGGCGTCGAGCGCGCGGAAGGCGTTGGGCCACGTGGCGAAGGCGAACCCCGAGGCCCGGAGCGCCGGGGACGACTCCAGCACCAGGCTCCTCACCCCTTTTCTGTGCAGCCCGAGCGCGGCGGCGAGGCCGGCGAGCCCGGCGCCCACGATCACGATGTCCTCGCCGGACTCCTCTTGCCGCTGCATGCTTGCCGCCGCTGCGGAGAGCAACGAGGTCGAGGCCACGTAATCGGCGGACTTTCGGAAGAGAGCGCCTGATTTGTTTAACACGAATCAACCAATCTAGCTAGAGCTGCTCATCGGGATTGGAGTATATACAGCTCGACAGTGAACGGAGCTTGAGGATTGACGTCATTGCTGATTATATGTAGGATTTTTGTCGTTGCCATGAATGGCGTGCGCTAGGCTCACTCGTCACAGTCGCTCGTGGTGGGCGCCCAAGCTGAATTTGCCGGAAAAAAACAGCTCGCAGTACAGCAAACAAACATGTGACGGGAAATTCCGCTGCTCCCTATCACACACTCCACCTCTATCTAGTCGATAGGCTGCGGGAGCCACACTGATTGGCCCGGCTACTTTCTAGGCCACGATTTTCGAGCATGGCGTT